TACAGTCCCAGTACAGTAGAACAGTCCTGTTCCAACAATAGGAGCTACAGTAACAGCACAGTCAAACAGTGCTTATATTATTCTCTACACATGGCCAAAAGCTTCAGGAAGGCAACATAAAAGCTCGAAACCGGGTTCAAAGACCTGTCAAGAGAACGTGTCCTTTAACCTCAGACTACTGAGAATCCCGTAGACAAGTCCAGTCCATCTATATGGCACTCTCCTGCATGCAGAGCCAGCCTGATTACAGCAGGACGAAAACAAACCCTGACACGGTGCTGAACAGAAAGGAGCCAAACCTGTCTGAAGCGCAGAACAGCCCTGTCCGACAGAGCTCAGTGCAACCCGCCTGTTTCAAATCCGCCTGGGTTGATGTGAACTTGGAGAGGGGGAGAGAGGAGGGGAGGGGCAGGGGAACAGGGCTATAAATCCAATCCCAGCACCAGAACAGCTTCCCATCCTGTCTGGGGAGGAAACTCAACAGAGCTGCAGCCCAGTTCTCAGTGATCTCCTCACAATAATATGTTATAATTGTAGATATAAATGTCTAGTTAATTGTTATTTCTCTGGCAACGCTGTAATGCGTTGGTCGTGCCAATAGAGCTCATTGAATGTGAATTTAGGAGGGAGAAGCAGGGCTCAGGGCTCAGTAGTCCGTTCTTGGGTTTGTTGTTGAGCTGGGAGTCGGAGTCCAGCCTGACGCAGACCTGCACTCACAAACACGCTGTAATCATTAACTAACCCTGTGAGGACCACAGGGGCTCTGGAAAAACAACACTCAGCTCCAGCTGGGAACCCCATTCCCTCTGACACTCTGCCCCTGTATCTCTCTAGCTCTCCTCCCCATCTCTCACAGTCCTCTCTCTCACTCCCCCATCTCCCTCTCACTCCCCTCTCTCACATCTCCCACTGTCTCCCCTCTCAATCCCCCATCTCTCACACTCCTCTCTCACTCCCCATCTCTCACACTTCTCCCTCTGACTCCCCTCTCTCACTCTCACATCTCTCACACTCCTCTCTCTCACTCTCCCACCTCCCTCTGACCCCCTCTCTAACTCCCCCATCTCCCTCTCACTCCTCTCTCTCACTCCCTCATCTCTCACACTCTTCATCTCCCTCGTCCTCACGTCTTCATCTCCCTCGTCCTCACGTCTTCATCTCCCTCTCCTTCCCTCTATCCCGCTCTGTCCTTCCTGGCCTGGGCCTTCACCCTCATCCTCTCATCCTCCTTCGGTCCTTCCCACTGCCTCTGCTCTCCCCGACCTCCGCCAGCATGGTCCCGGGATCGAGGAGGAGGGAGGCTACAGTCTCTTGTTCTTTACAGGTTAGACAGGGGGGCAGCTTCTCTCTTGCTGTACGCAGAGGCACAGAGGTCAGCAGGGCGTAGATTAATGGACACTTATTATTTTTCCCTTTTTGAATTCCAAGATGTAAAAGGATCAAGATTCAGGTGAAAATCAGTCTTGTCCCATTAGCCCCTCCCTCAGGATTCTGGGCTCGGAGTCAGCGCGGCGTGGTCCGTCACACAGGTGCTTCTGGGCTCTGTGCTGGACACTGGACACTGGGGCTCAGGGCCGGAGTTATTTATTGGTAACAGATGCGTTTACACACTTGGAGCAGCTTCAACTATTTCCACACGGAGACAACAGCCTGTGCGTTTTGCATCTGGCAGGCAGGCAACCTGGAATGTGCATCTGGGATCACTGAGGGTGAAAATCCTATTGGAGCCATGAAAGAAGTTTTCCAGCCCGGGGTTTAGAGGTGGGCGATGCTGTTTCCTGATCCCGAAGGTTTTCTAACGAACCTGAAATGCTCTGGACTTGGAAACGAGTGCTCATCAGGGTCAGTGAAGTCAACATCCATCCATCCACTTTTCTGACCACTTCCAGTACAGGATTGCAGTGGAGCCACTGCCTATCCCAGCAAACAAGGGGCGCAAGGCAGGGTACACCCTGGGCAGGAAGCTCCTCCATCACAGGCCACACACAGGCACACACGCATAGAAAGGGACAACATACAAACTACACACAGATAGCACCCAAGGAACTGAACCCAGGACCTCTGCACTGTGAGGCAACAATGCTAACCCCTGCACCACCATGCCACCTGTGAAGCCAACAGTAGATTCAATTCTGCCATGACGAG